CGTTGACATTGTAGCACTGACTTTGACTATTTTCAGGCAAAGGCGGGTGTGATGAATACCTTTATAATACTACAACTGGTTTTTTGTTTTTAATATTATCTGTAGTTTAGGTTTGGTTTCAGACAGTCAAGGCATAATTAAGGTGTGCACAACTGGTCTTTTCTTTCCTGATCGGTATTCGTGACAACAATTAAAATAGTCTCCAACATCAGAAACAGATGTCAAATATACCATTTATAATCTTGAGTAGGTCTCTGGATGAAGAAGTAGATACCAATGCAGAAAACTACTTTTGTTGACCACCTGTTGCTTTCACTTGTAAACCTTGTTCTGCCATAATTTTCGTTTGATTATCAAAACCTTGCTTTTCTATTTAAATAACATATCCTACAAGTTGAACCTCAAAGTATCTGTTTTAAATGATAAACGGACCAAGACATGCAGTTTAATTGCGTTTTAGACACTTCATCTTTTATCTGTAGTGGCAGCCTCTCGAGTTTAACAAATTTAGATATATTGAAACTTAGATTTTGCTGTTATTTCTCAAGCGGTTGTAAGATTGCTTCTGTTTAACTTAAAGCACAGTAAACGCACCGTAAAAATATCACAAATGTCACAGAATTTTTCAGATTTAACATTTTTTTATATAACCATGTATTAAATTGTTTTTTTGTCAGGAAATTTGCTTTTGGTACTTTCATTACTGGTCTGTAACACTCATCTCTGTCTCCAAATTCTCTCACTAAATTTAGCGTTTTTCTAATCTGTAGTGGCAACGAATAAACAATTTATTCTTGACCTATCAATTGCGTTTTCTTGTGAACCGCTGCGAAAACGGAATTTCAAAATTTACTTCAATTTCTACAAATGCTATTACAGAGAATAAAGGTCAAACTCAGCAGTCTGAAGCGAAAATTCCTACCTAGTTGTCAATTCAGCTGCAAGACAGAAACAAGATTGTCCTGGATCAGTTTTAACAGAGCTTTTCTGTATGATAAGGCACAAACGCCTATGTTTACCATACCTTCGAAACCGTTGAGGTTTTCTAAAATTTTTGCATATATTTCTTCTTTTACCGTATTTCGTTCATGCTCAGAAGTCTGCGCTACTTTTTCCCACAATACTCATTCTTTGCAAGGACCAGAGTCAGTGGCTCAGTAACTACTACTCTGAAATTTAATAATTCACTGACCTGTCGTGATCGATCTGAAACAGTGTCGAAAAATCCTAGTTTCTTTAGGTAGGTTAGTTTCTGGTTTTAATATGTTCTACTGGTTGCGCAATTTCCTAACAAGCTTTAAACAAAAAAAACCAGGTAGAGGGACGAAAAAAGACTATAAATAAGTGCAAACATGTTACTCAAGGAAGGATGACTTATTTGTAAATTAAAATAAGATATGAAGAGGAGGAAAATCTTTAAAAACAAAAAAGAAGTTGCAAAAAAGCACTTTTGAAAAGAAGTAAAAAAGTTTTTGATGATAAGTGTAAAAAAAAGAAAGCTATAAATCTGTAACATTTGTTTCTTCCTACATTCATAGATTTTTATGTGCCCACCCTGCACGACGCAAATTTTTTTTTCTTGAAGTTCCCGATATAAATCTATTGACACTTTTGTATAGCACTGTAAAACCTATTCTTGAATAAACTGAATACGCAGTTTTCGCAGATTTCATACAAATAGAACGATTAGGTGTGCAGTGTGCACATCAAGGATTTGTAAACTTCATTTATGAATGGTAATACCGTAACATGATGAAACATTTATATACCTCATCAATAAATTACAAAAACGTCTAGACTAATATAGTAGAATTAAAGTGGTAATTTTGAGCACTGAAGAATAACAGCAAAGTGAAAGCAGAGGCTTCACCTTTTGCAAAAAAAAGTTTTCTCTAAAGTTATTACGTTGTGAAATCTTGCTAAGATTCAAGATTTGAAGCTAATTTTTTCATAAGAGACCTTTCTTAAGCTACTACAAGCCAATTAAACTAATTTTACTAGTCTAATTATTTTACAAACATTTTAAAGTTTGAGTGCACAACTTTCTATTTTGCTATTTCTTTAACCTGACAACGTGATTATGAATAAACAAATATCACTAGAATATTGAATTTTTGAAACACAGTATTAGCAAAGGTGCAGAATAAACGAGTTTTCTATGCAATTTGTGTAAGTGTTTGTACTCTGTTAGAAATTATGAAAACAGAAAGAATATAGTAATTAAA